GAGAAGTATGAATACATTAACATCTTGTACAGATCCCCCCATTCCCCCTTCCCCTCCCATACCCCATTGATTATAGTAGAATATATCACACGAGTACCTCGCATATACAAATATACATGAGCACCTCGCGTATACAAATATACATGCACGTGCACATGCTCGCAAACGCGTCTTAATAAGGCACTATGGTAGCCTTGACACATTCCATAAAATCACGTTCTTATCAAATATCATAAAGACAGGTTGATCAGTTTGCATACATATTGAACAATGTTGGGGAAAGTGAAGGATTTAGGTGTGTGCCATTTCACCAATGAAGAGAACAATCTGCAAAATAACGGGACGGTTAAATGTGAGCCATTATTCACGGGAACAATCGACTCGAATATCTAGACGATTGTTGATGCGGCGTTAAACAACAATCACTGAATCACTCAAAAGAAATATATATGTTTAATTTTGAAACATCCTAAACAATATAAATATAAACCATGTCATAATTACTTATAAGCACCGCGCCAGGAAAAGTACCAGACGCCTCAATCGCTTACCCGTCAATATCATTGCAAGGAGAGAAAGGACTCCCGGTAACAGTGATGAGTACTAATTAAACATTCAAATAATGTTATACGCCACTATATCAGTTTTATTTGTAACTTGCTAATAATTTTGATTGGCTTTTTGCACATACAAAACAATTATAGAACAATACCAAGCAATATCCCCCTTTACCAACATTTACAAAGCAACACAGTGCTCAACTTAAAACTCTTCATTTTGCACATATACAATAATTATACACGAATACATAACAATTATCTACCTTTACTGATATATAAAAGAAAAACAATTTTGGATACATCATATATACAAACTTGTATATTTTTGTATATGTCATATACACAAACTTGTATATTTTTGTATATCGCATCATTCCAAACTTGTATATGCTTTGGATATATCATCTTTCCAAAGCATATACAAGCTTGTATATATGGATGTTTTTTGCAGTGCATTGGCTTTTGGCAGGTCCCCGCCCATTTCGTGGTTTTGGCCGTATATTCCGACCCTTCCGATGCCTGATGGGGTGTCGGTTTGGCAACGCCCCGTCTAACTGTACGTGCCCACGTCGACCAGAATACACCTGTGCTGTGAGTAGAATGGTAGCTTCTCTCTTTAGCAAATTGAAATGTAATTTTAGAATCAAGGTGACTCTGAATGCCGTTCTAATTACTTCATTTTTCATCATTTGCAAGGTTGGACACAAGTACTGACGTTGTCCTCTTGGTTTGTTTTGTTGGAATGAAGTATTGTACTGAATGAGGTCGATCTAATGCCAAGTCTTTTTTGGTTCCATAAGCGGAAAGTCGGTGGTTCGATCCCCAGTTGCGTCATACCACACGACGCTAAGTGCAATAATTCTCTGCAGGAGGTCACGCCAGGTGAACGTTCTAATCAGCCAGCTGACTTGGTAGTTTTTGAATTCTCGTTTCAAGGAAAGCATCCGGAACAACTTATCGGTATTCTTTATTTCGAAAACTTTAACGGCAGTTCCGAAGGGAGACTAATAAAAGAGGCTTCACGTTGTGGACTCTACTTCTATGGCATCTAATCAGAAGTAAATACTATAGAACGGGCATGTTTGTTCTTCTGTGGGTTGGCTTTTGTTTCGACTGAAATTTCTGAAATTTCAGAATCCAGTTGAACGAACGAAATTGTTTTGGAATTATTAAAAGCATCAAAACCCTTTTCATAACCATGCCAAATCTCTGCTGCTCTGCAATTCCGATTACAGTATACTGATGTGTTTATGAATCAACATACCATGTGTTCGCTACATAAAGGGAGCACCCATCACAAACGCATGCATATGCAAGTCAATTATTCATCACCTCATCTGACGTGACTCCTATTGAGGGTTTATTATATTTTGACGGGGACAGTTATCAATTAGAACCACAGAGTCCGTTCAGGCAATGGTTTCATATCGTTTAATGTGTAACCCATAATGTGTTTCAGGAATTGAAATGTGCAGATGACAAGGTGTGGAAGGTGTTGTTTGGCCGATTCCCCAGCTGTGTTAGAGATCAGGCAGGTAAGTCGCACAGCGTCTCCAAATGATCGTAGCTTAACGATAGACTATATTATACTCATCTGTGTGCGTTGCCAGGATTCCAGGAACAAAAAGACCTTCTTTGATTGTTCTAAGAGTTAGGGTTAATCTTTTGCGACAAGAACTTGTTGGTACATTTGCTAGACCCTACAATCCATCTCTCCTGGTACGGAGTGTTATGGAGCTTTATATAGAGATCCAGGGCAAAAGTTGATGGTGATATTGTTTTGTTACATCAATCTTTACACTTATAAGCGCAACTGGATTAGTGGAGTGACGGTAGGAGCGGGTCTGTTGAAGCGCCTTAAAAGGGCAGTTTATGATCATGTTTCTCACAACCCTTTCTTAATCATATTTGTTTGTTTGTTTGTTGTTTAACGCCGCACTCAGCAATATTCCAGCTATATGACGGCGGTCTGTAAAATAATCGAATCTGGACCAGACAATCAAGTGATTGACATCATGAGCATCGATCTACGCAATTCGGATCGATGACATGTATCAACCAAGCCAGCGAGCCTGACCACCCGATCCCGTTTGTCGCCTTTTACGACAAGCATTGCCGCCTAAAGAGATCGCAGTGCCGTGTACGAATATATCATTAACATGGGCTTATGAATCTATCAAATAGTGATTATACGTGAAGGAGAACGTATGCTGCCCCACCGGGAACACCCGTCACTAACACACGCAAAGGCATGTCAATTGTTCACCAAAACACACACGGTAATGGTGCACGCCAAAATATAGAATTGCACCAAACATCACAATAGCCACTCATGCATCATATTTGGAAATTTTCTCCACATGTTGGTCGTCAAACGTGTTGAAGGCCGTACTGAGGCATTGAATGTTGTAACCCTGATCAAACAACTTTCGAACAAGAACCGAATGAGGCTGTATTCATAGAAAGAGCATGCTTGATTGCATGTCAAAAGTTGTGGAATGAAGACACCAAAGGCAGGTGCTGCTGAAATAGTACTCGACATACAGAAAAACATACGTATCATCCCTCGAGGAACATAAGGCCAGTAGAGCCCCTTGGCTCAACCCTTCACAACGAATTGCGTCGTCTTTTACTGCATGGTCACTCGTGCCCTCTCATTATAAGTACCATGGCTTATGTTAACTATTATATTGATCACACACACACAGACACATAGACAGACAGACACAGACACAGAGACACACAGACACACAAACACACACACACACACACACACACACACACACACACACACACACACACACACACACACACACACACTAACACACACACACACACACACACACACACACACACACACACACATACACACAGGCATGCATGACGCCATGAAATTGCAACGATATTAAACGCGACGTGTAACCACATTTCTCCTCACCTAGCTTTAAATGTTAAATGTATGTGCCACTGTTCTAACAAAACAATAACACATCATATACAAGATTAATGGTATTGTTATGTCGCATATGTTCTCCAACATTATAAAACACGGATCTCTTGTTTATGGCGTGATTCACAAACACAAAAAGATAATATTTATGTTTCACGATAGAAGTGTTTCTGCATCCATAAAATTATGTATACTGCATGCAATGTGGTAAGCATCTACATTTCGGCCCTGCATGCAATGTGGTGAGCGTCTACATTTCGGCCCTGCATGCAATGTGGTGAGCGTCTACATTTCGGCCCTGCACGCAATGTGGTGAGCGTCTACATTTCGGCCCTGATTGCAATGTGGTGAGCGTCTACATTTCGGCTCTGCATGCAATGTGGTAAGCGTCTACATTTCGGCACTGCATCCAATGTTGTGAGTGTCTACATTTCGGGCGTGCATGCAATGTGGTGAGTGTCGACATTTCGGCACTGCATGCAATGTGGTGAGCGTCTACATTTCGGCCCTGCATGCAATGTGGTGAGCGTCTACATTTCGGCCCTGCATGCAATGTGGTGAGCGTCTACATTTCGGCCCTGATTGCAATGTGGTGAGCGTCTACATTTCGGCTCTGCATGCAATGTGGTAAGCGTCTACATTTCGGCCCTGCACGCAATGTGGTGAGCGTCTACATTTCGGCCCTGATTGCAATGTGGTGAGCGTCTACGTTTCGGCTCTGCATGCAATGTGGTAAGCGTCTACATTTCGGCACTGCATCCAATGTTGTGAGTGTCTACATTTCGGGCCTGCATGCAATGTGATGAGTGTCGACATTTCGGCACTGCATGCAATGTGGTGAGTGTCTACATTTCGGCTCTGCATGTAATGTGGTAAGCGTCTACATTTCGGCACTGCATCCAATGTGGTGAGTGTCTACATTTCGGCACTGCATCCAATGTCTTGAGTGTCGACATTTTGGCACTGCATGCAATGTCTTGAGTGTCGACATTTCGGCCCTGCATGTAATGTGGTGAGTGTCGACATTTCGGCCCTGCATGTAATGTGGCGAGTGGCGACATTTCGGCTCTGCATGCAATGTGGTGGGTGTCGACATTTTGGCCCTGCATGTAATGTGGTGAGTGTCGACATTTCGGCCCTGCATTCAATGTGGTGAGTGTCGACATTTCGGCCCTGCATGTAATGTGGTGAGTGTCGACAAATTTGGCTCTGCATGCAATGTGGTGAGTGTCGAAATTTCGGCCCTGCATGCAATGTGGCGAGTGTCTACGTGCCCTGTCGTACTCGTCTTTGTGGATAAAAACAATACAACAGGATGAAACCAAATATATAATTAGCATTATTTTCTTGCCGGTTGTCAGAAATTATCTAGGGTACGAGAGGCCTATTTTAGAAGATGACGGATTGACAAAGTAAAAAACATTTGTGGAAAACTACCTCGCCATACATCATAACCAGTCACGTGGAAAACCAAGAAAAGGTATAAAGGGGGGCGTTTCGACATCCTTGGATCCCGCACTTCTCCCGCAACTGTGTCCGATCTGATCTGTAGTGAAATTGTAAGTACAGTTTTAACATGTTCAACCATTAGTATATCTTCGTAAACCATTAATATATCTTAGTTGAGCATTAGCAAATCTTAGTAAAGCATTAGTAAGTCTTGCTTTGTTTTGCTAACCATACGCACTGACAGTGTTGTCAGTTGAACAGGACATGCTCAGCCGAACACGTGCTGCCCTCACTGTTAGTTGGCGATGATTAGAGAGTGAATGAGTGAGTTAGGTTTAACGCATGTCTTAGTGTGGGAGGAAAGTGATGCAGGTCTCAGATGTTTAGCACTTTGGTGAAACCGAAGAGCACGGGTATGGTGCTGACAAACCAAGAAACATAGTATTCAAAACCACAATCATAGGTTTCTGATGTGCCCAAGGGACTTCGCTCAGTACAGCGAATTGCGAATTATCCATAAGCCAATCTTGTCTGTATTGACAGTTGGCATCCTCCGTGGTCTACTGGATGGAGCGTCCGGTGGGAGATCGGAAGGTCGGTAGTTCGATCCCTTGAGCGGGTCTTACCCATGAAAGATGGTATTTGTTAAAAGATGGTAGTTGTAGTTAACCTGCCTGGCCCTCGACATTCAGGGGACAAAATGACAGTGGTCAACTCGGAGTCAGTATACTGTGACTAAGTTGGGTAGTCAATCTGAAAATGCAGTATGGTGTCTCAGTGGGCCAGAACTATAACACCAGCATTAGTCCGGATTATCACAAGCACACCACACCCTTCCACACACGCACACGTGCATGCACATCGCTTTATAAGTGCAATAAGCTTGAACGCGACACCTCACTGAGGCTGACTTATATCATTATGGATTTCAATTTCTTTAATTAGTCTTCCCATGCAAAGTAACGAAATGTCGCATAGCAAGAAAAAAGAAGTCAATGCAATGATTCCAGATTGTCGATATCTATGAATTTGTCAGGTCCGTGTTTTGGAACTCGTGTCTGAGAGATGCGAATACGGGGATACTTCAAATAGTGGTGTCTGTGTTTACTGTTATAAGTGGCGGTGGGGTAGTCTTGTGGTTAAAGCGTACGCTCGTCACGCCGAAGGCCTGTGTTTGATTCCCCACATAGGTACAATATGTGAAGCCTATTTCTGGTGTCCTCCGAATTGATATTGCTGGAATATTTCTAAAAGCGGCGAAAAGCCATAGTCTCACTTACTGCCATAAACTAGCATGCAGGATGAAGGAATCTAATTATACGTGATTAAATGTAAACGATGTCTTAAATATGAGTCGTTCATGTTGTTTGCCACTTGTTTGTCAATTAAATCACGGCAATGAGAGGTAGTGGGGGTTTGATGGCAAGTCTTAACAAGATTTTATCAGCACATGAATGATATTGAAGAGTCTTTCTTACTTCACAGCTATTTGAACAGCAGACATGAAGTTCGCCGTATTTCTCCTTGTCTTGGCATGTGTTTGCGCTGTCGCCCTAAGCGATCCTGGTAAAAAGAAGTGCAAACGCAAAGGTGAGAACGGCAACGGCAATGGCAACGGTGAGAACGGCAACGGCAATGGCAACGGTGACAACGGCAACGGCAATGGCAACGGTGACAACGGCAATGGAGAATGTAACGAAGGGAACAATGGTGGCAAAGCTGATGACCCGAACGGTAACGGCAATGGCAACGACAACGGTAAAGACAACGGTAACGGCAATGGCAATGGCGACTCGTAACGGCAACGTTAACTGAGGTCGAACAAATGCTCTTCCAGCGCATCTTTCTAAATGTAAGTTATATGAATGTGACATACACTTTGAGTAAACTGTTTTTTGTAAATAAACGCGACGAACTTTTCCATAAACTTGTTGAATTTATATTTCTTACCTTTGAAATGACATGCCGGCAAAGCAGCAATTTATATTTAAATAAGCATTGATGCATTGAACACATGCACAATTCACGCCAGAGGGTATATGGGCAACATTGATTCTCATCATGTCGGTTCGAAAGGCTAAATTGTACTGGTACATGCGATGGCACAAAGTGGTCAGAGCATGTACCATTATGCAATCAGTATCCATTATCCATTATCTCAACTCCTATACCTGTTGGGGATGTTGCAAACATAACGAACTGACCAGTCCTCAATGAAAATTGAGGCTAAAGAACTTTTTTTGTTAAAAACCCAAACATCTTGCAACAATGTTTTTTTTGTCAACAGTCTGAAGCATAATACAATTTTGAAACATATTATGGGATAATTCTCCCCTCCCCCTCCCCCATTAAATGGTTCATTAAATCATGTAATAAGCAAATATGCAGCCCTATCACGGTGGCTTGTGAGTAATCGAGTCTGTTTTACCGGTGGTCGATAGAATGAAGGCGTACCATTATACCACCACACATCCAGTGTGGTCCTCAGATACGTTCTGATGATGTACGGGCGGATAACGTACTAAACGTATGCTTTTACTTTCAGGTGAAGCAGTTTCCCATCGAACGTAATCAAGAATGAATGTCCTGCAATCTTGAATAAATACTTTTCCCTATCTTTCAATCTTTGTCGACAATGCTTTTGTTGTTAATTATTGAGAGCTATGACGCTTAATAGATGTTTGACGATAGGTCCGGCCATTAACTGATAATCGGAGAAATTATTATGGCGATATCTTCATCATTTTGTCAGATAAGGATAGCTGAGATCGGCGTTAAACAACAAACAAACAAAACAAAAAGGACAAGGATAGTTGAAGGTTCGTGGATTCTGAGAGATTTTGTAACATGGGTTAAGTTGAAAAAACACAAACAATTGTTTCACTCACTCACTCACTCACTCACTCACTCACTCACTCACTCACTCACTCACTCACTCACTCACTCACTCACTCACTCACTCACTCACTCACTCACTCACTCACTCACTCACTCACTCACTTGTCTCACTTGTCATTTCCGTGTTCTCTGTTATTAACATCGTGGCCAACAATGCCGATCCGGTAAATGTGAGCGCTATGACATGGTTGTCACATATGTTATTGCCATAACCAAAGCTTTCCCTTTTCCATTGTCATTATAATATACTTATCTGTGTGCGTTGCCAGGATTCCAGGAACAAAAAAACCTTCTTTGATTGTTCTAAGAGTTAGGGTTGATCTTTTGCGACAAGAATTTGTTGGTACATTTGCTAGACCCTACAATCCATCTCTCCTGGTACGGAGTGTTATGGAGCTTTATATAGAGATCAAGGGCAAAAGTTGATAGTGATATTGTTTTGTTACATCAATCTTTACACTTATAAGCGCAACTGGATTGGTGAAGTGACGGTAGGAGCGGGTCTGTTGAAGCGCCTTAAAAGGGCAGTTTATGATCATGTTTCTCACAACCCTTTCTTAATCATATTTGTTTGTTTGTTTGTTGTTTAACGCCGCACTCAGCAATATTCCAGCTATATGACGGAGGTCTGGATTATTGAATCTGGACCAGACAATACAGTGATTGACATCATGAGCATCGATCTACGCAATTGGGATCGATGACATGTATCAACCAAGTCAGCGAGCCTGACCACCCGATCCCGTTAGTCGCCTTTTCCGACAAGCATTGGCGCCTAAAGAGATCGCAGTGCCGTGTACGAATATATCATTAACATGTGCTTATGAATCTATCAAATAGTGATTATACGTGAAGTTGAACGTATGCTGCCCCACGGGGAACACCCGTCACTAACACACGCAAAGGCATGTCAATTGTTCACCTAAAACACACACGGTAATGGTGCACGCCAAAATATAGAATTGCATTAAACACAACAATAGCCACTCATGCATCATATTTGGAAATTTCCTCCACATGTTGGTCGTAAAACGTGTTGAAGGCCGTACTGAGGCATTGAATGTTGTAACCCTGATCACACAACTTTTGAACAAGAACCGAATGACGCTGTATTCATAGAAAGAGCATTCTTGATTGCATGTCAAAAGTTGTGGAATGAAGACACCAAAGGCAGGTGCTGCTGAAATAGTACTCGACATACAGAAAAACATACGTATCATCCCTCGAGGAACATAAGGCCAGTAGAGCCCCTTGGCTCAACCCTTCACAACGAATTGCGTCGTCTTTGACTGCATGGTCAATCGTGCCCTCTCATTATAAGTACCGTGGTTTATGTTAATTATTATATTTATCATTATGTTACTTATTAACTGTCATGTACTAAAACCATACACATGGTGTGTGTTAGTTTAGCCTTATAAAGACCGCCTCCGTGGTCTCGTAGAGCGTCTGCCCGGAGAGCGGAAGGTCAAGGATTGGATCCCCGGCCGCGTGATACCGAAAGACGTTAAACGAAGGTACTTGTTGTTAACCTGCCTGTCGCTCTGTATTAAGTTGCTTAAATAAGGACTTGTCGACTCCGAGTCAGTATGCTGTGTATTCATGTTCAACTACGGCAGGGTATCACAGTTTCCTAGCACTATAAACTCGGCACTACTCCGAAATAGTACAAGCACACACCAACACACACACACACACACACACCAACACACACAGCAACACACACACACACACACACACACACACACACACACACACACACACACACACACACACACACACATACAGAAAAACATACGTATCATCCCTCGAGGAACATAAGGCCAGTAGAGCCCCTTGGCTCAACCCTTCACAACGAATTGCGTCGTCTTTGACTGCATGGTCAATCGTGCCCTCTCATTATAAGTACCGTGGTTTATGTTAATTATTATATTTATCATTATGTTACTTATTAACTGTCATGTACTAAAACCATACACATGGTGTGTGTTAGTTTAGCCTTATAAAGACCGCCTCCGTGGTCTCGTAGAGCGTCTGCCCGGAGAGCGGAAGGTCAAGGATTGGATCCCCGGCCGCGTGATACCGAAAGACGTTAAACGAAGGTACTTGTTGTTAACCTGCCTGTCGCTCTGTATTAAGTTGCTTAAATAAGGACTTGTCGACTCCGAGTCAGTATGCTGTGTATTCATGTTCAACTACGGCAGGGTATCACAGTTTCCTAGCACTATAAACTCGGCACTACTCCGAAATAGTACAAGCACACACCAACACACACACACACACACACACACACACACACACACACACACACACACACACACACACACACACACACACACACACACACACACACACACACACACACACACACACACACACACACACACACACACACACACACACACACACACACACACACACACACACACACACACACACACACACACACACACACAGAGGCACGCCATGAAATTACAACGATATTAAACGCGACGTGTAACCACATTTCTCCTCACCTAGCTTTAAATGTTAAATGTATGTGCCAGTGTTCTTACAAAACAAAAACACATCATATACAAGATTAATGGTATTGTTATGTCGCATATATTCTCCAAAATTATAAAACACGGATCTCTTGTTTATGGCGTGATTCACAAACACAAAAAGATAATATTTATGTATAACGATACAAGTGTTTCTGCATCCATAAACTTATGTATACTGCGCAATGCATGACATTCAAACAACTTGTTGATCAACCAGCAAACCACGACATGCTCCTGGCAATGGTAATAGTAATTCACATGCATAAAATATGCATATTGAGCGTGACGCATCATGGGTAATCATGGGTGTGTGTTGATCCTGTCTTTTGTGACGTCCCAAAGCAGTTTCTGCATGGAGTTAAAGAGATAAAATATGACATATTGTGTATGATAAATGAGAACTAGGTCAGGCATGACATTACATGTGTGTCTATATAATAAGAGAGTGGACGGTTATCAGGAAACGTTACCACACAAGAATATAATATTCGTTAACACCACTGGTCTGATGTAAGTATAACAATTGTCATTCTTTGTGCATTTATTACTTCTCAAGTCAATGTCGCACGAGTTATGATTATTACATACAAGGAACAAACATTTTTTATAAGGAAGAGAATTAATTGATGCCAACCTCTTTATTATGGGGAACAAAACGTTTGGGAGTTTATACTTACTCCTTCATCGGGTGAATAAATGCTATGAAGCAGAGAACTGTAAAGTGTTGGATACCACTTATCGATTACTAATCACCTGTTAGCGTCAATTAACTATTGCCGTCCCTTGTTAAGTTTCCACCTTCGTTATCTTATTACTTTTGTTGTTCTTACAGGTACATACATATGTACCAAAAGCCGTTGAAAGATGGCACTTGTTATTACCCTGCCTGGCGCTCGGCATTAAGGGGCTAAAACAAGGACTGACCAGCTCGGAGTCAGTATACTGTGTCTGAGTGGGGTATTTATGTTAAACTGCGGCATGGTATCTCAGTAGGCTAGCACTATAAAATCGGCATTTATTCCGGACTAGTACAAGCAGCCACACACACGCGTGCATGCACCTCACAATAAGTGCAATAATTTTGAACGCGACATTAAACCCCCATTTCACCCCACCTCAACACAATTGGCCCATAACGATCCAACACATTTTAAGACTATTTAATCTGCTAATGTTTAATTGTTTTCAGATTCACTATGACATCACACGGTACAGTACCGTTTACCATTCTTACGTGTGTCACCGTTGCTCTGGTGCCTGGCGACGATGCATCAATGACGACAATGCCATCTTCTATGGACACGCCCATCCCAATTCCGATCATGGACTGGCAAGGTAGATAACAGTAAATGTAGACTTTGATAGGCATTTAGAAGTTGAAAGAACATGAATATATGACACATTTTTATTGATAGCAACTTCCTATTTTCCTTGTACGACGTTTCAGAGCTATTTCTTGCTCCTTCATCGGCGAAGTAGCTCCTACAAACGTTGTTTCTCCTATACAATTAAAAATATGTAATCTGTCTGGTAATATAATTGGCCTGTACTACGAATGAAATCGACTTATTTGCTTTTTTGTATTGTGCCAAGAGGTACTAATTGTTTTCGAACATTCGACTTGATCATTTGTAGTGATGTGTTCTTTCTGTATATAAGTAATGACTTCAGAACCATTGGCTTTTGGCAGATCCCCGCCCATTTCGTGGTTTTGGCCGTGTATTCCGACCCTCCCGATGCCTGATGGGGTGTCGGTTTGGCAACGCCCCGTCTGACTGTACGTGTCCACGTCGACCAGAATATACCTGTGCTGTGAGTAGAATTGTAGCTTCTCTCTTTTGCAAAATGAAATGTAATTTTAGAATCAAGGTGACACACTCACTCTGAATGTCGTTCTATTTACTTCATTTTTCATCATTTGCAAGGTAGGACACACATATTGACGTTGTCCTCTGGGTTTGTTTTGTTGGAATGAAGTATTGTACTGAATGAGGTCGATCTAATGTTATGATTGTTAATTGTTATTGTTATTTGTGGTATTAGCGGGAACCCCTGCCGTTCATACCACACGTAACACTAATGCCAAGTCTTTTTTGGTTCCATAAGCGGAAAGTCGGTGGTTCGATCCCCAGTTGCGTCATACAACACGACGCTAGGTGCAATAATTTTAATATGACAACCCATCTGCAGGAGGTCACGCCAGGTGAACGTTCTAATCACCCAGCTGAATTGGGAAATTTTGAATTCTCGTTTCAAGCAAAGCATCCAGAACAGCTTATCGGTATTCTGTATTTCGAAAACTTAAACGGCAGTTCCGAATGGAGACTAATAACAGAGGCTTCACTTTGTGGGCACTACTTCAATGGCATCTAATCAGAAGGAAGTACTATAGAGCGGGCATATTTGTTCTTCTGTGGGTTGGCTTTTGTTTCGACTGAAATTTCAGAATCCAGTTGAACGAACGAAATTGTTTTGGAATTATTAAAAGCATCAAAACCCTTTTCATAACCATGCCAAATCTCTGCTGCTCTGCGATTCCGACTACAGTATACTGATGTGTTTATGAATCAATATACCATGTGTTCGCTACATAAAGGGAGCACCCGTCACAAACGCATGCATATGCAAGTCAATTATTCACCACCTCACCTGACGTGACTCCTATTGAGGGTTTATTATATTTTGACGGGGACAGTTATCAATTAGAACCACAGAGTCCGTTCAGGCAATGGTTTCATATCGTTTAATGTGTAACCCATAATGTGTTTCAGCAATTGAAATGTACAGATGACAAGGTGTGTAAGGTGTTGTTTGGCCGATTCCCCCGCTGTGTTAGAGAACAGGCAGGTAAGTCGCACAGCGTCTCCAAATGATCGTAGCTTAACGATAGTATTATTCTACAGGACGCAGGGACATGTTCAGAGCTGGTGCACCGTTTCTACTACAACAAAGCCACAAGAAGGTGCGAGGAGTTCCACTATGGCGGCTGCGGGGGAAACGGAAACAACTTCCGGAACAAGAGGGCGTGTATGAGAACCTGTAGGAAGAGAGGCGCCTTCTTTAACAGACCTTAACATTGTAACTGTAGTAAATCCATGCTTTACTTGAATTCCATGTTGACCAGAGCCATATTGTCATATCCACATAAAGTTGATCACACGTTATGCATCATTGCCATAATTTTTTTTAGTTTTTAGTCATGATTTCAATCACTGTATTGTCTTGTTCAGATTCGATTATTAATAGACTGCCCTCACATTGCTGGAATAATGCGTTAAACAAACAATTAAACAGACAAACAAACAAAAACAAACAAAACTAATATTTTCATAAAATTATATAACTTTATTTCTCCATGAAGCCTTGTGGTATAAAGCGCAATAATCCGCTCTCAAAGTTGCATCCCTTCGCCGTGCTATGATCCGCTGATTGTGAATTCAAATCACAGATTCGCCAAGATATTAATCCTTGAATCGATCCGTCAGGCCCAGGGCCATATTGAAACAAACTCTAATCTCAAGCCAAAATAACCCCTTCCTCCCTCTTATTTACAAGGAAAAAAGTGAATATGAAATCTTTCCCACTTCTACGAACGCTGACATTTCTGTCATTTGTGCCGTGTCACCTGGGTTGAGTGATGGCTGGGGCAGTTTGAAACGTCTTTCTGGTGAACATTTATGTCCTCTTCCAGTTCGTCAGCGAAGGTACATACGCATGATATGTTTGAAATGGTAAAAACACAACAACGTTAATGAATGTTGTCTCTGTTCGGAGGCTCGACGTCCAAACTGTATGTGTTGGCCGACACTTTGGAATAATGTACACAACGGTGTCCGTCTGGGAGCGCCAAATGTGATTTTTAAGAGGACAACTCTTCGTAGCGTTCCCGGGACCAGTGAGCGCTGAGACACGGTTCATTTACACCACATTTACCGCTCCCGGTACCAGGAAAATAGAACGAGAACAGAGAAGTACCGCTCATCAGTTCCATTACCGTATTTATGCATGTTAAGTTAAAATGTTTAAAATTTTAAAATGTACATATTCCTATCAATGTTCAGTAACGATGAAGTAGTTCCGACAAATGGACTGTATAGTCAGTGTCAGACAGATGGTGGCTGACCAGGTCCTCCTTCAATGACCCGGGGTGGGCGTCGATCTGGCGGTAACGTCGCTTACGAGGAGGTTCAGAGTGGTTGCCGACCATGCCAAGGATGCTGACTTCGGTGTTGGACTGCTCTCTCTGGACAGCTGCACCCCTCACAGATGTTGGAGTGGCTCTTCCTGGCTAGATGGTTGGTCTTGTGGTGCCACTCTTCAAGGCTGTGAGTCCGATGATCAGAGTTGCCAAAGTGGTTCTAGATGCCTCAGCTCCTTTCAACCCAAGATGTTGGGACATAGTATATGCAGGCGATAATGTATCGGCAATCGTCTCCAACCACACAAGAGGAACGATGCTGCACCGTACTCAGCTCTAAAGATATACTAGAAAGAGTACTAGAAAGGGTGACGTTACCGCCTATGTTCACACATTTACTTATATACTGTGTACGACATAAGGAGGACGCATATTTGCTCCCTTCAATGCATAATACTGAAAGTAAGCCCTGAAAGAGTGAGTTAAATATTCACGTCACGTCGGCAATATTTCAGCCATAATGTGACTTGAACAAGTTGTTCAAACCCATGCTGGATCGGGTGGTGAGGATCAGTGACTTGGTTGATGCATGTCATCATATCCCAATTGCGCAGATCGATGTTCATGATGTCAATCATTATATTGTCTTGTCCAGACTCGATTATTTACAGACTGCCCTCACATAGCTGGAATATTGCGTTAAACATAAAACAAACCCAAAACAAACAAAACTAATATTTTCATAAAAGTATATAACATTATTTCTCGGCGAAGCCTTGTGGTATAAAGCCACTAATCCGCTGTCGAGAGTTGCATCCCTTCGCCGTGCTATGATCTGCTGATTGTGAATTCGAATCACAGATTCGCCAAGGTATAAATCCTTGTAACGATCTGTCAGACACAGACCCATGGATATTCACATTGAAACAAACGCTGATCTCAAGCTAAAATCCCCTTACCCCTCTTATTTACAAGGAAATAAGTGAATATGAACGCCGACATTTCTGTCTTTCAAGCTCTGACATTTGTGCTGTGTCGCCAGGGTTGAGTGATGGCCAATGAGAACCGTCTTCTGGCATATGACTCTAGGCAGATTTATAAAATATTCAAACATGTGATGTTTTCCCATAATTACAATGATGAATATCAGCATTTATTAAAAATTGAAATTTACCATGCTCAGGGCATGGCGCAACCAACCGATTGATAGAACCGGGCCCATTCTAACACCCGTCCAGGTGGAGTTAGGGTCAAAGTGGTGTGTTGGGCAAAGGAACCGTCCTCTTGGAACCAGTGCCAGACTACCTTCTTCCACCGATAGAGGGGCGCAACCCACGGCAAACGGATTGCCGAAGTTTGACGCCTTTTACGACAAGCAGTAGGGTGCTGGGGACACATTCTACCACGGGTCCCCACGAGGCAACACTGAAAGATATCATTATTATGTTAAATATATTCTTCACTTTGCTTCATACGGTTTGACACATGGATTACATTCTTCTCATTCCGGGTAGGAATATAGGTCCCTCACAATCTGTGATTGTCATATAAATCGCCTAATTGATCGGGCAGTCAGACTCAGTGACTTGGATGATTGCATGTCATTGTATCCAAACTGCCTGGATCGATGCTCTGGATTCTCGGATCCATATTATATTATTTACAGACCACCATTATATACCAGAAATATTGCGCTGAAGAACAAACAAACATTTTAGTATTCATAAGAAATGTCCACCAAAATTGCACAATTCCAACCATATCATGAGCAAGCGTCGATGAATCACCATTAATAGGTGATGATACCAGGTGGTCGCGAAAAGGTGAGCGTATCCTGCCCCACCTGTTGCACCGTTACAAACTGAAGCAAATGCAAGATTTAAAGTTCACTTATTCTTTATTCAGTACAGAAGGAGGCCATCCACCCATGGTACATTGTATAGTACAGTTCACAGTTCAGTCCGATCATACATCATGACACCGTCTAGACTTTCAGATCATAATAATAGTTTTCAAACATTCTTTCCGTGGTAAATAAAGGTAGTAAAATGTCTTGAAATTGTTTCATTTGAAGTAGACATGAGTATGTTAAATGTTTCCAGGATGGACATATGTAGCAGGGCGTGGAGTCATCCCACAGATGACATCCTTACCTTGTCAGCTTGCTGACGGGGTTAACCTCTTTGGTCATGTGGACAAGGCGTCCGACTTCTGATCAGAAATCGGAAATTTTATGGCCGCTATATTTACTTCCCCGTCAACAGAATGCCCGTCCCGGGCCGAATAGTAGGGTACTGAGGCTTATTTTGCTCAAATTTAATATGAAAATGCTCAGCCCAACGTTGGGCGCCAATGTAGCTGACATAAAATTTCCGAGTGCCGTGATTGGATTCGAAGCACGGACCTTCTGATCAGAAGTCGGACGCCTCGTCCACATGACCAAAGAGGTTAACCCCGTCAGCAAGCTGACAAGGTAAGGATGTCATCAGTTGGATGACTCCACGCCCTTCTACACACATAATATTTCTGGAACTCATTGGCTGAGATCATGTTAGCCATTACAGATGAGCAAAACAGGGTACTCCGTCTCTACATAGCCTTGATTTCATACCTTGCACAGTCTTTGCTGTCTAGGTATATGTACATATCTACCTGTCTCAAGAAATAACTGATGTGAGCTACAGAGGAACTGTGTAATAGCATACCTGAATTTACTTATTCTTACTGCATTTATATAAGGCTCAACAGAAAATTGATTCTTGAACGATGAATAATGAAACATATTAGTAATACCACACAATTGAGCATGCCAGTCCTGTTGTTGTTTGTTTGTTTGTTGTTTAACGCGGCTCTCAGCAATATTCCAGCTATATGACGGCGATCTGTAAATAATCGAGTCTGGACCAGACAATACAGTGATTGACAACATGAGCATCGATCCACGCAATTGGGATACGATGACATGGATCAACCAAGTCAACGAGCCTGACCACCCGATCCCGTTAGTCGCCTCTTAAGACAAGCATAGTCGCCTTTCACGGCAAGCATGGGTTGCTGAAGACCTATTCTATTCCGGATCTTCCTGTTGATGGGTAGTATTTAATCTATAAATAAATTCTGATATATTTCTTTACTGTTCTTGACTCGAGTCTCTGGTTTTCTCAAATATCCAAATCCATATTTTTAAAGATGAGACTTTATCTTTGACTTTATCAGGGTTTTTTTCCATTATGCCTGATATATCTTTTCATAACTTTTATGGATACTGTGAATCTGAATTTGTTATTACTTCACGCCAATATTTGATACAACGTTTAAACACTAATATATAATATAGATATCTACCACATTCTCCAAGTGCGACATGATTCGGCGTGAGAATTTGATTGCTAGGGATCTTCTACATCAAGTATGTGTTCAGCTTCTATTTCTTTAATTTCATCCATACCCCATTTGTTTTGGAAAATAGTGTATAAGAAGAGGTTTATATCCTAAAGTGATTTCAAGATGGAAAACAGATGGGATGTTACACTATAATAGTTTTGACAGAGATAAATTATTTGCAAAACATGCACCACAATAGATATATGATGACACCCATTCATTTAGATGAGGACCATACTTTATTAAAGACAACTTTCGTCTTTTCTAGGTTTTCAGCCCCACGTTGGGCGCCAATGTAGCTGCCATAAAATTTCCGAGTGCCGTGATTGGATTCGAAGCACAGACCTTTTGATCAGAAGTCGGACGCCTC